CTTGCCGACTGTGGCGCTGCAATCTTTGGCTATGTCTTGGGCTACTCAAATATTTTACGTTTTTTATACTAAATTAACTTCTGAAGTATAATTTTTTATTTTTATATTTTTCAATATATTTATTTTGTTTGTACAAAATCAAAAATAATTGTTAACGATACAATAGTCTTCGTTAGGCTTAACATCGACGAAAATTCAACGCAAAGCGACACGCAACAGAGAAACATTTCAACACGCGATAAATTAATGTATTTTTTCGTGCATAGTCGGTTATTCGAAATACCGATTTTCCGAACAACCTTAGTCTCCAATTGTTGATTCGAATAATCGACGCTCTACTGTATACGGAAAAAAAGAGCAGAAATAAACAGGGAGACAAAATACCACAATTCTTTATTTGGGGCTATATTTGGAATCTGATTTTCTGTCCAGTAAAAGCTCAAGATTTTCGAAAACTTTTGTGGTACTTGTAAGTGTAATTTGAGAATGTTCATTTAAATCTTGTGATATAAACTTATTATTATTATTTACGAAATTTCTTTACGAATAACGATCAGTAAAAGTAAATGTCTTATTAATTAAACAAATTTTCAATTATTCAAATACTTAATGGTTGAAAGTTGAAAGAGAAATTATACAAAATTTTCTGGGGTGGCTATCATTATATTGTATTATGTCATCCCGAAGTGGCTCAGGTATAATTGCTTTAACACATATTATTTACATGTTTTTTAAAGTTAACAATTGATTATTTAACACAGGAAGTACTGAAGAGTTACACCGTGATCAACAAAGATTGTCTTTATAATATTCTTCATCCCTGGCTGGGAACGGGTCTTTTAACAAGGTAAACGATGATTGAAAATCTCACATTAATTAAAGTTGTTTACAATCGAAACAGTTCAAACGATAAGTGGAGAAATCGTAGAAAATTATTAACTCCAGCATTTCATTTTCGAATTCTCGAAGATTTTCAAGGAATTTTCAACGATCAGTCAAACATCTTAATTGAAAAGTTAAAGGAAAAACAGGAAAATAAAGAATTTCTTATGGATGAGTTGATTACGCTTTGCACTTTGGATGTTATTGAAGGTAAGAATTATTCAATGTTTCCTAGTAGGAAATAAGGTTGACAACTGTCCGGAATTTCAGTTATTTAAAGAAAATAGCGAGATTGCGGCGGAAGTTTTCATCTCTATAACGTGAACGTCGCTATCTTTTGAGCGGCGGTCGACGTTTGACGTTCACTGTTTAGAGATGAAAACTTCGGCCGCAAACTCTCTGTTGTCCGGAAAACGAAATCTATTCTGTGCAAAATAAACATTATGTTCATTTTAATTATTAATATGTATTTTGTAAAAATTATTTGTCACTAAATATGTACAAGTATTTGATAAATTTTAAAAATTAAAAATATAACAGAGTGTTTTATTTCAGTATAGTACGAATGCTGCTTTTGTTTAAAATTTACAGAATCACTCAAATATAAGAATTATATCATTTTTTATTTATTGTAAATATTTATAATTATACAGCTATTAATCTAAGAACACATAATACCTACAAGAAAACAAATTTAATAAAACTA